AACTACTCATAATAGATACCAGTGATGCAAAGGGAAACACTACCTTTTAAATGTTTAAACAGACTGTCACCTAAATGCTCTTGGTGTTCTGCTCTAGGAAAACAATTCATTAAAGTTCAACCCTACTCTTACAGGAGCACAAGCAAATGAGCTGTATATATTTCAGCAGAGGGTGCTATAAACTAGGATATACAGTGTAAAGTGACACTGAAGTCCACTTTGAAGTTTGCTTCTGACTTTACTAGCTGCCTAATGCCTTCTGCTAAAGTATGTTTGAGTGGGTCAAACATTCCCTTATTGTTATAAATCTATTAGAATAAGAAATGGAGGCTGATTTCTGTTTTAACTCAAACTGAGTGTTGGCTGGATCAGTTGAGAGTGGGATTTCTTACCCTTAATCAACAAGCCCAGTACCTCCATCCTCCACCTCCACTAAATCATTTCCTCTTGTTTGGTATTAGATGGTGTCATTCCACCTACCGAGGAAGATCGCAGGAAGATCATCAGGCAGATGAAAGTGCGCACAACATTAAAAGGGGACAACAGTTGGATCAACCCACAGAACTCGGATTCTGAGGATGAAAGAAAGAGTCCATTGTAAGTGGGATTACCCCTGCCAGCTTTTTGTCCCTGTCTTTCCTCACCCTTCCCCCTCAAACTGGGCTGTTTTAGGAGACCTCATTCCCCAAACTCACTGAAATCCTAGACACCCCCATCTCTATCTGGATCTCCTTGCCTTGTTATAGGGTCCTGCTGCTGGCTGTGAATTTTAGTCACATGGGCACATTACTTTTATTTACTTTTGATAAATGCACATTAGAGGGAATTCTGTAGAAATGACTTTTCCACGGAGCCATGGAGCCGGCAGCTCAGAGAAATTGTTAAGCTCCAGGAACCAGAACAAAATCAGCTGAACTCATGGAGCCAGATTCTGCTCTCTGGTTGATGGGAAGGCAAAAAGGGTCTATAAAGCTGCCTTGTTTAAATAGATGCAGATCCCATTGGTGGAGAATCTCTGAATGATATGTAACTGGCACAGCTAGCTTTTCCTTACCCTTGGCTGGCCCCAGCATCAGAGCATACAGCAACCTTTAGCTATTCACCCTTTGCATGGGGCATTGAGTGAAGCTCTGCACCACTTGCCCTGAAGGTCCAATTTATGACATTGTTTAATTAAAAACAGAAACAAATAAAAGTCATTATTCTCCAAACAAGGCTTTCAAAAGCTAATGTTTCTATCACCTTAACACTGAGGAGCATGTGTAGAAACCTTAGCATATCAGCAAGTTGGGACCTGCCTGGTAATCGCAGGACTGCCCAAACCTAACTCTGGCTTAGAAGTGGACACTTTCCGATTTTTTTCTCTCTACTCATCTCTAAAGCTACATCTACATCTAGAGCACCTGAGCTACCAGGAAGCCTTAGACAGCCTGATCCTGCAAGCTCAGGAGGGAACTAGATCCCTGTACCAGCTTTGTGGTCAGAGCATCTCACTGGGCACATCTACATGTGATATTAATTTGAAGTAGGCTTACTGTGCAGTAAGTCTACCCAGGATCATGTCTACAAATGCTCCCTCTTGGGAGCAGATATGCTTCCAATGGGCGTGTCCACACGAGCGCAGCCGTGCAGTATGTGGTGCTGCAAACACATCTGCAGCACTGTGTACCACACAGTCAGGTGTTCTGCACGCTGAAAGGGCACATTTCCTGTGTGTGCGCTACTCTGGCTTTTTTTTCTGTGGGTTTTTTTGACCTCTGGGTATCCAGCGGTCAAAAAAACCCATGAGAAAAAAACTGAAGCAGCGAACACACGGGTAGCACACACCACTGAAAAGCAGAGCCAGGCTGCTTGGAGCCACACCGCTGTTGCAGTCCCAGGAGGCCCTCAGGACCCCAGGTAAGGCTGCCGTGGCCTGCACAGTGCTGGCCCCAGTTTCCCCTATCACCCCCAGCCTAAATTTCTGCATGCCAAAGCATGTGTGGCATAGGTGTTCCCCTGGGAGAAGTAGCTGTGGCTCAAGGTGTGCTACTGCTACTTGTCCCCGGAGAACCAAATGTCCATGCTCATCTGGATGTGGCCAATGGGAGCAACCTGGTACAGGGCTTCTCCCGCTGGGTGCTAGCCCAGGGGCTAGCAGGGAGCACAGGCCGGTCCCCATGCACACAGGGACAGGAGAACTTTGCCAGCTGCAGCAGCAGCAGCTGTCTCCTGGCCCTGTACACATAAGATGGGGCTTGATGTGCATGGGGCCAGGAGATGGCTACTGCTGCAGAGATTTCATGTCCCATGCACATGAGGACAAGCCCTGTGCCCAGCAGGACTTCCCTGGTCAGCCTGGGACTGGCCAGGAACTGTCCCATTCTAGGCTGAGTGGGGAACTCTCCATGCAGCCCAGAGCTGGCTGGGACCTGCCACCGAACGGGACAGTTCCTGGCCAGTCCCAGGCTGACCAGGGAAGCAGGGAGCTCCTGAGCCCTGGTGCTGCTCAGCTCCCAACTCCTGTTGGGAACCAGAAGTTGAGCAGCACCAGGACGGGGGTGGGCAGAGAGCTACCCTGTCCGGGAGCTATTCAGCTCCCAGTAGTGCCAGGACCAGGGGAATCCCGTGTCCCCTTTTGCCCCCCTAGTGTAGGGGCTGACCAGGAGCAATTTTCTTCCCAGACAGCATCTATATATGCACAGTTAGTTTACTACCTGTATTTATGGGTAGTAACTAACTGTGCAGTAGACTAATTTACTGTGCCATAAATGTTTGCATGTGTAGACCCTGATGCTTTACTGTGGAGTAGATTAGTGTACTCCACAGTAAAGCATCTCACATAGACACACCTGCTGACACAGGAATCTACCTGCACCTGTGTGGTTGCAGGGTTAGGACCTATCAACATAAATATATGGGGTAGGTGAGGAGCAAGAGCCCTCACCCCTTTGGATTTTTTGTAAATAACTCTCTCATGATCAGTTTTACTGCTGCTTCCCCTACACAGCCTCATGTCATTTCTCATTATACCTTGCCTCTCAGTTAGACAACAGGACTTCCCAGGCAGAGCCCTTGCTTTCCTCCTATCCTCCACAGCATCTTGCATATCAGGGATGTATAAATAATAATAGCAACATGTGTGACATCGGGAGCATGGTGCCTTGAGGGGGCATTTTCACCTCACCCTGACATGTGAGAAGCTGAAATCTACTGAAGATGAATAATGGGGAGACCAAGGATACAGCTACACTATGTGTCTGGCACTGTCAGTGATGGATTCTCCTGAGCAAACCCTACCCAAATGCTCCAGCTCACATGGGCCAAATCCAGAATGCTCACGAAGGCACTTGCGGACATCTCTTACAGCCACTTTTGAGCATGCCACAGATTGAAGACTAGAGAGCAGCTGCAGTCTTTGAACCCAAAGACTATCAGAACTATGGCTGTAAGGACCATACAAATACCTTGGTATGTAGCTAGAGAGAGAGATGGGTGGAAATCTTGGTTACTTAGATTGTAAGCTTTTTTTGGTTTGTGTTTGTACAAAGCCCAGGACAATAGGGTTCTGGTCCATGCTGTGTGCTCATATGTGGTACTAATATCAATAATAGTAAACCAAGATTTTCAGATGTCAACTGATTTGCAATGTCTCTGTTTATTATTTCCCACCCTGAAGTATTTAAATGGATCTCATTTTTACAAAGTAGTGGGCACCCAGCCTCTAAAAACCAGGCCCCTGCAAAGTTGGGCGCTGCAAAATTGAGGTGTCTCAAATGATGAGCCTCTTCTAAAAACCTTGGTCTAGATACTAGTGGCCTGATTCCTATGGGTCTGCTTGCTCCTTTGTTTCTCACACAGCCTAATTCTAGAGTCAGTAGGTTTCATTGTTTAACAAATTATGTGAGTATCATGTTGTTGCATCATATTTTGGGGTTCTAACTCCAACTGATGGTGTTTCTTTCCTGTTTCCCTAGGACACTTAAACCACAGTCACCTTTTGCAAATGGCCATTCAGACAAGTGAGTTCTTTCTGTAAAAGATAAAACATTAACTACATTGACAGTTTCCTTCTTTCTCCTCCATCTGAGCATGCACATTTGTTTAAGGGGGCACTGTCATAGCAATTTCTTCACTTCACTAATTCTAAAAAGTTCAGTTCAGGACATAGTGGGCATCTCTGCACATGCATTAATGTGCTGTTGTTACTGTGCATTAAGTTTGGTATCTGTAAAAACAGGTACTAATTCAATATGCAGTAACCATGCCTACTGCGCAGTAAGCACCAGCGCATGGCCTTTTAGTGATGTTAATGCATGGTAGACTAATTCTACTGCACATTAACACATCATGGCAAAAGCTGTGCTAATGTGCAGTAAGTATAATTAATCTAGTGTGCATTTAGCATCTCATGTAGACATGACCAGTGTGTCCTGACACTGTTCCATAAAGAAACCATTAAGGGTTATTTCCAATCACAACTGTCAGATGTGATTCTAAGATGTATCACAGAGCACATTTGGCTGGATTTCTACTTTAGTGGCTTTGGATAGTACCAGAACTCCTTGCTGAACAGACAGCCTTGTATTCTATGGCTATTTCCCTTTGAGACTGATATTGCCACTGCTGCTTTTCCTTGTCAGTTTTGATTTACTGATATCTGTTTCCCGTGCAGGTCTCCAGGTTCCAAGCCTCCCTCTGGTTACCTTATCAGGTTGGTATGCAGAGTCCTCAGCCCTCCTAGGAGAGGAAGTACTTGGGCTGTAGATGAAATCGATGGAAGATTTGGGAAATATCAATAATACTTGAGCTTCTACTCTTAGATTAAGGACATGGTGGTTCCTGACAGAGGATAGCCCCTGAGAGTAGATGTTTCAGTGCCTATTGAGAAGTTTAATGGTATATTTTGTGATAATGAGAAATCAGATCTAATAAGCTGGGCAATAGACAATCCCAGCATTGGGGGTGTCAGAAAGGCATTCCCCTGTCCCTCTTACAGAGCACTGCATTGGTGTTCAGTGAAAGTGTTAGCAACATCTTCCAGTGAGGAACTGTGTATTAACTCATAGTAGAAATGGTGGACCCACAGTCTTGTACAGGATCACAAATCCTGTCTTGCTCCATCTGACTTTCATGGGACTTTCATATGGGAGATGATTTTACAATGTTGACTAAAACTCTGGGATAGAAAAGCAGGGTTTTCTCCCCCAAAACTGACTCTTTCAGGGGAGCAGATCCTATTTCATCTGTGTCGATTAGCCAAAATAATAGGTGTACTT